TTTGAAGAGAATTGTACTTTTTTAAATAATATACAGTAGGCTGATAATACACATTGTATTATTTAATTTTGCAAAGAAAGAAGTTATAATGAAATACAATTCATAACTCATATTCCTATTGGTAGTGTGAATAATTGTACACCTTTAATTCATTCACAGAATGTGATAAATTAGAATTTTGAACCTAACTACATAAAATAAACAACTACATTTAAATGTTTTCTTAACTCAGAAAAACAACTTAGAACTGTTCTAACACATATTCAAACAGGTTAAAAATTTCAGATTGCAATTTTTTTTAAATGTGTGACTAAACTATTTCACAAGAGAATATATATTTCATATTTTAAATTCAAACTTTGCAAAACAAATTACACACAAATGCCACCTTTAATCATTGGTTAAACTTTCTCAGTTGCAGAAGTTTAATTAGAAACAAAAAACAGCTAATCAGAAGGAAAACCAATAATATAGCCAATCATAGAGCAAACTCAGTGTGCAAACACATGAGAAAGTTCTTCCAATGGTTGGAGGTGCTTTGAAAATCAAAATTTCTGGAACTCTAACAAAAGCAGATTTACAAACATATAATCTTGCTGAAAATATGTGTTTCAAAACTTTAAGTAAAATGTCTTTCAAAAGCTGTGTGGATTATATAGATTCATAGATATTGCAAAATTAACAGGTAGCATAGTATATTTTCAGGAGAAAATTAATGTCTGTGTTCATTATGATATGACTTCAATGTTATGAAATTTGTTATATGAAATTAAATTACTCATTTACAACTAAACTGTTCAACAGAATACAAAAAAAAATGTTTATGAAATATAAAATCTGTGTGGTGCCAATGAAAGAAATTATACCATATACAGTATTTAGACATCCATTACAAAATTAAAATATGAGATGGCAAAACTTAATACTGTGAATTCACCAGGAGTTAAAACCTGAACATATATATATTTTCAAGTACTGTTCATCAGAGAAGAAAATGTGATGCGACTGCTCTGTAACATTCCTAGTCATGCAGATTATTCATGCAATACAGCCAAACTGAGTAAATAAATAAAATTTTGCTGCAGATAAATTGTAACAGCATACACACTTCTTGTCTCCACAAGCACTGCCATGAAGTCATTTAGGGCACATTTCACATAGAATTTAAACTGGCAGAGAATCAAAATGTGTAATATATCACAAACTACTGAAAAAAGCCTGCTAAAAGTCAACAGAGAATGACTTCTTTAATATTTTGTTACTTTATGCCCTTTCTTCCTTTCCTTTTCCCTTTCATACCTATATTATTTTTATAAGTACTTCTAAATGCTGTCTAATGGTAGCAGAACTTGTAAAATAAAATATTCTGCCTTCTAGCATCAACAATGAAGACTTGGTCAGTCATGTATAATATACACATATAGTCCCAAATAGTATCCTACTATATACAGCGTCAGACCCCATATCCAACACCCCAAAATCTGTAAGGACCTAAAATCCATATTATTTCCTTGCGATTTCTTCAACTCACCACCATGTGGGAGTGGTACCACTGTCAACAGTCTTCTTACCACCAGCAGAAAGAAGCTTGCTTGTTTCCATTGTTAAGCAGTGGATAGCATAAATAGTGGGCTTTTACACATTTTTTTAGACAATTAAGATAATACCACCTCAGATTTTAAAGATTTTTCTATGTCTCAGAGAAAACATATTGTAAATTGTAGAAAATCATACCTCAACAAAAAAAAATATATTTATTCTGACTGTCTATATCAAAATTTCTCTGCATAAAGATCCAATATCAAGAAAATCTAACAAGCCTTATGCCCCAGCTTGAGTGTAAACAACAGTGATTGATGCTTGGACACAAGCAATTTCAGTTTGTTTTCAATATTCCATTAATATTTGCATCAGATAATTAAATCATTTATTTTGTTGACTATATAAACATAACCAAGTTCCCCCGAACTAATTTGTTTGTATACAGAATTGATATTATTCCCTGGTTTGAGACTTGACTGATAATCCATTCAAGATTCTACTTTATTTTCTTTAACAAATGGAAAATCATCTTGATTACGGTTCTCTAACACATACAAAATTGGTAAGTCTGTTAACACCATAAAATAATTTGAGTAATATCATATATAGGCACTTATAATGTTCAATTAAATGCTAAGACTGAAACAATAGTAGCATAGATTGTTCATCTGATGATTTTGATGGTAGTAACAATTGAAAAGACAGAACAGTCTTTTGAAGTTAGTGTTTCCTAATCTTGTTATGTAATGGAATACAAGCAGAAACTTTTTATTTAAACCATTAAACACAATCTTATATAAAAGCATTTCACTGTGTTATTTTAATATTATATAGCAATTAATCCCTACAACACACTTATTTATTTCTTAAAATTAAATGCATTTTGATGACACGTTTTGGGATTATCATAACATTTTTAAGCAAATTTCCTCCAGTGTGCCAACTAGAGAAAATTTTCCTGAAGATGGTATGTTAATCCCAAAATATGTCACTAAATTAAATTTATTTTAAGAAAAAATAAGTGTGTTGAAAGCCTCAATTACTATATAATCCAACGTTAAGCACATTTATGTTAGTCAAGCACTAGCACAGAAATTCAAAATAATGATTCAGGCTACTATTCAAACATTTAGGATATAGTACTTCACCAATCATATAAATGCCTCTGTATTTTGCACCTTAATAGTGGATGCTCATGGCAATTTCTTGAAAACAATTAATCATAACTAGAATAAGAAGACAAATTCTGAAATCTGGAAGGTACAAGGTATTTTGTATCTTCACTCATAAAAAAATTAGCATTGTAAGCAATAAAAGTGAAAAGAGAAGAAACGCTAAGAAGATGAGGATAGGGTAGGATAATCAAGTTGTAATTTTATGTTATGGAGTTCAGCAACCAATTTGTGAACTACCAGAGTAAGAAGTTTGAATTAAGTTAACATGTTATAATATCCTTGAGCACCAAACTTCTGAAATTTCAGGAGACTCAGCAGAGCTGTATTATAAAAGTAATACATTTTAAGGTAGAACTGAAGATGACCAGCATACTTGCACAATTATAATACCGTTAAGCCAGGTCAGAGGAATGGAGGAACATTATATTTTGAGGATGTCCTAAAATTTGCATAAATTTTGAAAAAAATTATTTAATTTGTTAATATTTCATTATTTTTATAATGCTCTCACTTAGTTTATTTGTATTCTGATTTATCCAAAATGATATAACATATATGTGTGCATTCCTCTAAATTTTCATGAATACATTAAAAAGTCACAAAAGTGTTCACCAAAAAAATTATTAACTCTAAACATATTGCCAGGAAAATAATTTAAAATTAATTAAACATTAGTTCATTATATATATCACAGACCTATAATTTTATTTCAATTTTAAAATATCATTTGAACTTAATTCTTTGTAAATTACAGAAAATATTTTTATGTTGATCTGAATACTCCATGTACTTAGTATAAAATACCTAGTAACTCAATGTCCAGTAGTTACCAGAAATGTTGAGAGTATAACCAGCCATACTGTGTTCATGACAACACTGATTACAAATACTCAGTTCCAATACACAGAGGAAAACTTCTCAAAAGAAACAGAATACTGATACATATATATAAAATTCAGGAGCAACGCCTTCATTCCGGGTCCTCAACCTACCCTGAAAAGGAAAACTAGTCATGTTGAAACACAGCACTGCCACCTATACCTGAAACAGTTTTCCTCTGGTACAGAACAAATAATCAGTCAAATGTCCTCCAAATTAAATCATTCTTTCTTTCTGTCTTCACATAATATTAAAATATATGAAAACACTAATTTATATTTGTTACTTTTAGTATAACACAAAATATGTATATGCTTTATGTGTGTTATATTTTCAAATAATAAAATTACTGCAAGCAGGGGAGGAAATTTATTTTTGTGAAGAACTATAAATTGTGAACACATTAGTCACATTTTGAAAACAATAATAATGTAATTTTTAAACACATGACAAACATCCTACAAATGTGAACCATTAACTCTCTCCTTGTGGAATTTCAGAAGGAAAACATTCTTTGTTTTGTTTATATTTGCATCATAACTTACAAATTAATTTTGATTAAAGTGTAAAAAAATTATGGCAAAAATTTATTTTTGCTTCTAATGACAAATATATATATAATGAGAAACAACCAGTTTCAATATTATCTATCTCATTCATTATACAAGCAATGTTAAAATGTAACTGAACATTTAAT